TAAACTGATGTATCCGGAATTGTTAGTTTGTTTTTCACATTCCAACAGTCATTATATTTTTTCCTCAAACATTCAATTGGTAATTTTTATCAAAATTTTATGTAATATTAATGAAAATTATGTCATTTTAGGTTTCATATCAAACACATCATTGTACGGATCCATTTAATAGTTTCGTAGTGACTAGTATTCATTCCCCATTGAACAATGTGTAATCCTAAGCTCCATTTAGTTGTTTTATTGTTTCTAATTCATGTATTAATAGATATTTTTAAAATTGTGTTGTTTAATTGAAGTGTAAGTAATTAGTAAATTTTAAAATTAGAAAATGACCAAGTTTAAATTTAAAGGCGTTTCAGTGTTAATATGATGTTTGATATAAATCTAGCGTAGTTGCTTAGAAACAAAAATAAAATTCCTTTTAGATCTAAAAAAATATATTTACTTAAATTATAGACACTGACACTCGTTTACTTTTGATCTAACTGAATCTCTTTCTATTCCAGAAAACCAAGGCGATGCACAGTGGGCCAGCCATGGACAAAAGTCAAAATTTTGACATAATCCAATCTGTATGAAAATGTATACATTGTTCTATATAAATATCTAATTAAGGTTTTGGAGTTATTCTATTATATTTGTTTTACAAATAAATCTTCATCTTTCCGGAGCAGTTTTATAATAATTTGGTGAAAAGTTTACAATTTTTTTATAATTTTGTTTACGTTGTTTCACAGTTTTATTTAACTATTGTTGTATAACAACAGTATTGATTGCTAATTTATTACAATTTAACACTTAAAAGGTAATACTTAGCCAGAGTTAAAGATGCTAATGTCATTTTAGGGTGCAATAAATGAATATTAGAATATAACACAAAAGTTTAATTTTAATACTTAAATGTGCCAATCAAATCTTTTTTTGGGACGGGTTAGGGCGGTAAAAGATTGGTCATAAACTGTTTTTTAACTTGTAAGAAAGCCAACACACTTGGTTTTATGGACGTAGACAGACGTATTCAAGCTGCATATTGAGTAAAACGTTACTATGGTACCAAATTTTATATAACAACAAATTATTTTTACATTAACATTTTTTTAACAATTTTTTATTCGTGCCATGTACTATATTAAATACGTGTATTAAAATGAGATTCACACTTCTAATAGAAGTCATAATTTTAATTGATTTTTATGGATATCTATTTTTTCAAACTATTTTTGCATAAAAACCTCATAATAATGCAAACCTCATATTAATGCACATGCTAATTTTAAAGTATATAACACACATAAAAGATCTGCAACTACCAAAAATAAGTTGTTTCTAAGCGAAATTAGGTATCCATAGCAACCAAATATAAAAAATATCATTTTCATAAGAAGCGCAGACCTCATATTAGTACTCATGCCAAATTTAGTAAATAAAGATCTAAAATGTAATTAGTTATTAATTTTGTCTATTCAAAGTCAATTTTAGCCCACTGTGCAATGTGGTAAATAATTGAGAAAATTAAGTTTTGTGAACTATCAATAACACAAACTGAAATGTTGGTTCCATTCAATTTTATTTTTGAGATCAATGGCGTTCAAAAAAGTTTTGTAAATTTCTTGAAAATTTTAATGATTTTTTGAAGGTTATAGAGAGTATTCTGGAAGTGTTATATTTAATGCTCAGTATTTAAAAACCATTATTGGTTGGGATAAAAATAGAAAAAATAAAAATAACACACAAGAAAACCAAAAAAATTAAAAATTAAACATAATTCTTTTGCAAAATGATAGTTTAAAATCACATCTCGAATCTGAACAAATGTTGTGAAAAAAACATAAGAAATTTTTCAGAATATAAAAATAAAAAATTAACTTTTAGATACAGCGTCAACAAAGATTGTTTTAATATTGAACAGCTTTCTATTGTTTCCATTGATGTAAAGCGCATTGATTGCAATATTTGTTGTTATTTTGTTGATCCATTTTAATAGTTCTTTGTTTTGGACAAAAAAATTTTCTGCAATTAAACATCTCGATTTTGATTTGCAAATATGTAAAGGCCAGGGTCACGATATTAAAGACGCGATATCAGAAAGATTTAAATGTATAAGGATAAAAAGATTGGGTTATCCCTCATGGTTCAGAGGTCTCAATTAATCATCTTGTAAATTTATCAAATTATTTTATTATGTTGTTAAACTAATGTTGTCATTAATGTTCAAGCAAAAAACTTTGAACTGCAATTATTTCAAATTTTATAAGACTAGTCGTACAAATTCATAGTAACTCCTGCTCCCCTCCTGCTTCTCCTCCTGTTGCTCCTGTTAGAGAACCCCCGTAAAATTGCCTCTGGTAATTGAACTCAACAAGTTCTCATACACAAAGTCGGGTAAAATGATAAAGCCCTGCTAAAATTTATACTTTTAAGTTTTCATTTACTGGTATAAATTGAGTGTCACAGTTACTTTTAACTGTGTTTCCATTTATAAAACATATATTAGTTTATATTATTGGTGCGACCCTATATAGTAAAATAATTTTTAGCAAAGCTATAATTAGTTTTTAGAAAAACTTTTTATTTCAACTGACATTTTTTTTTCCGTTTAATTTTAACCGGGAAAAAAAATGTCAGTTGAAATAAAAAGTTTTTTAAAAAATTACTTTTTCATAAAGATAATAATTTAATTTTGTGAACTGAAAGGTTAATAACTAATTTTAGCGAGTTGAAAAGTTATTCGACTAATTTAGTGAATTCAAAAGTTTGTTATCTAATTTTAACGAACTAAAAAATCTGTCGACTAATGTATATTAGTCGACAGGCTTTTTAATTCAACTCGCTAAAATTAGTTTTAGTTTATTTTAGTAATTTAGTAAAATTAACCTTTTAGTTCACAAATTTAAATTATAATCTTTATAAAAAAGTAATTTTTAACAAATTACGCAAGAGTTTTTTGTTAACTTCTTAGGAGTTGAAGGATTGTAATATATAGATTTTTGATTTTATAATAAATAAAACAAAACTTTATTAGTCTTTGTCTGACTTTACTTTTGAAATTTCAAAAAAAAAAGAAGAAGCAATTTATAGTTAGAAATTAAAAGATTAGCCAAACTGATAATTTTTTTAAATCTAAGAAATCTTTTTGTAAAACATTTTGTATATGTTAATCATGAAAATATGTTAATCAACTTTTAAAACACAGAAGACAAATAGAACACAAATAGATAGCATCATATTATTCAAGAGAGGATTTTATACAAAAAGAATTTTATAACAATGATAATAAAATTAATACAAACATTGATTTATATTTATTGATTAATTATATTGATTAAATTAATTGATTTATATTGCGCTTTTGTATTATAAAATTTTTTTGAACATATGAAAATTTAAACATTTATAAGATAAAATATTTGCAATATATAGATTTTTGATTTTATAACTCGTCAAATTGGATTACTATGTCAAGTTTCATAAAGATTAACATTAAAACTTTCTATATGGAACATTTTCTGCGCAACAAAGAAAGTGAAACAGCGATGTGTAATTTTTGTTTTTTTAATACTTTTCTTTTAACTGGTTTTTCTTTTAATGTTTACAACCAAGCCATTAAAAGAAAAGTATTGAAAAATCAAAAATTGGTTTACTGATCAGATTTTAGATAAAACTTTCTGCAATTTTCTTAAAGATTTAAAAAAATTATATAATTTTTTTTTAACATAAAACAATACAGCATTTTCCTGGAAATTCTGGAATACAAATTTACAATGGGATTGTAAATATATGGAAGCGCTTAAGCGCATAACTTTTTTTCAATTTCAATTCATTAAAAACCGGTAAAATGGTTTTGACTAGACAGACAGACAGACAAAAAAATGACTAGACAGACAAAAAAATGAATTTTAATTCTATTTTTCAAGAAATTTTTAATTAATGTATTTTTGGAATGAAAAGTTAACAACTTTTTATTTCACTATTAAATCAATAATAAAGAAATTGATATAAAATTAGCAAATTTCCGAACTGGAATATCTTTTTGTCTAGTTGAATCTGAAGCTTTAAAGGATTTGATCAAAGCACTAAACCCATCTTTTACATCATCAATATCGTGGGAGAAAACGCTGTTAAGTTTGCTTCTGGATAAAAAAGTACGCAGAATGCTCCGTTAAAAAAACGAATCATCTGAAAATTTAACGCACGTCGATGGCTGGACTAGTATTGGTGGAAATATTTTAAATATTTGTATCAAGGCATTAAATACAAAACCGTAAATTTATTTCAATCAACAAAACGGGCATAATTCAAAACGCCGCAGCTGTTGCTGGTGCCATCAATGAAGTAATCGAGACTCTTGGACAACAAAAGTTCAATAGCATAATCGCTGACAAATCTCCAGTAATGAAAGCTGCTTGGAAATTAATTAAAGAAAAATTTTTATACATCTCGACGTATGGCTGTGCAGTACCCCAGCAAACAAAAAGATATCTAAAATGCATCTAATATGCATCTAAAAACTGGTCTAAAAGATGTCTAAATTCAGGTCTAGAACGGGACATAAATAGACGTCTTTCAGATACATTTTATTCGACACAAATATTTGGCTTAGATGCATAAAAGATGTGAAATATACATCTTACAGATGCATATTAGATGTATAAAATACGTCTCTTAAATAGATGTCTAAGGCGCGTTTAAAAAAGATAGATAATAGATAATTTTTTTAGCTAATAATAGCTCTTTTATACATCTAATATACATCTTTAAATGTATTTTTCACATCTTTTATGCATCTAAAGCATTTATTTGTGTCGAATAAAATGCATCTAAAAGACATCTATTTATGAACCGTTTACGACGTGAATTTAGAAGTATTTTAGACCAGTTTTTAGATGCATATTAGATGCATTTTAGATATCTTTTTGTTTGCTGGGACTTGTTTGATATAAAGGTTTTATAGCGGTTAAATTAGTCATAAAAAATGATTAAATTAAATAAGTAAAGAAACATTTTAACTAAAATTACTTAATTTTATTTCACAAAAATATACATAAGAAACTATATTTCTGCATTGCCGTCAACCGTCTTCCACGTCGCCGATATCTAAAATATATACATTAATGACATTTAAATGACTTTAAAAGACATGTAGAATTCTGAATCATCTATTTTTTTGAAATATTATATATATATATATATATATATATATATATATATATATATATATATATATATATATATATATATATATATAAAAACAAGAAGACTTGTATCTCAACCAGATACAATAATAAACAACAATTGTTTTATGAAAAAACTAAAGGAACTTGTATTATGGATACAAAAATTCTAGCATTACACAAAAAAGTCGAAGAATATCTTTTTAATACAGATATCAGTTTTGTAAATACTATTAAAACTATACCTCGTAAAACACTCCATATATTTACTAGATTTTCTAAGTTCATCTTTTCCCCATTTCCTTTTCGATTTAATTTGGACTGTAACTGATTCGAAAATAACCTGATAAATATTTTAACAATAAACTGAAATATATTTATAAAGATTTTTATTTTAATATATGTAATAAATTAAAATATATTTTATATATATGAATGCTTAAAATTATGAAAGGTATAAGCATTAAATTTGAAAATAAAATGCTAAACAAGGTTGAGCATTACACTTAGCAAACAAACAAACTTAAACATTAACTATTTAGCACACAAACAAACTTAAACACCTACAGTGAAGCTACCAAGTTTATCAAATTGTCATGTTAATAGTAAATCCATAACAAATAATGGTCAAAATGAATTGCTTTTGATCCCTTTTAATCATATTTCTAATAATTAATAAAAACATAATCATTTACCTTTTCATGATCAAAAAAACATATTCTCTTGGCCACCAATCCTTTTTCAAACTTTCCACCACAAATCTTTTTCAAATTATCAAGCTGAAATAAATGTAATAAAAATTAGTGTAACTTAAATTTCTTTACAACATATTGAGTCTAACATAAGCTAGTTATTTTAGTTCATTTACAAATACTTTTCATTTAGATTCTAAACTAATAAACCAAATTTAAACAAACTTATTAAAAATTAAGATAATTAGATTACCAAATTAGTATACTCGGTTTTATCTTTTAGTTTATTATGCAGTGTAACCACTTCATCCACTGATTCTAGCAACTTCAACCCAGTAGCCTGAAACTTAATTTCTATAACTTCTTTTGAAAGAACTTTTATTTCTACAAGCTCCTTGAGAATAACATTTTGCATCTCTACAAACAAGAATAAAAAGATTGATTAACATATTTAGCTCATAAAACCAAATAGCAAAACAATGAAATAACAATTTTCAAATTCAAATTATGTTTGAGTAACTCAAACTAAAATTCCAAAAATACATGTAATTTTTTTTATTACTCCATTGCAGAAGTTGCCATAATATTTTGGAAAACCTACTTTTTAAATCATCTAAAACATTATCTGTAGAATCAGACAAAGGCAAAAAAGGCAGATTGGAAACCTAATAAAAAATAATTTTGACTAAATAAACTACTTTGCAATAATAATCTAATTAAAAAAAAATAATCCACTCAAGTTATAGTTAAACCTGCTTAAAATAAATTAAACATTCAAGTTTTACAGAAATTCTTATTTAATTTCGACAAATAAACAACAACAAATAATATTCAGATTTATGTCAAACCGTTACTGATAACTACAGGTGGAGTTGTAAAAAAAAAAGGAATGACTCCGACTCCAGTTGTTGAAACTTTTTGATTACAACTCCAACTCTGACTCCAGTTGTTAAAATTTTTTGAGCACAACTCAGACTCCAACTCCAACTTCGATTACAACTTAAAGCAATATTTTTGAAAAATATTTCAAATTCTTTTAAAAATATTACGGGATAAGTTAAAAATTTGTTTTTTGACAAATTTATGAAACGTTCTTTGAGGTTTAGTAAGAACATAACGTTAATTGAATGTTTTGTACATGCACTTACAATACCGAGAAGTTTTACTATCGGAGTCGGAGTCGCGATTTTGTTTAGCGACTCCGACTCCGATGAAAATGTCTCAACTCTGCAACTCAGACTCCAAAGCCCTGGTGATAACTTTCGTGTATTTTTCTTTGGGCTTGGCTCCAGAGCAATTCTTGATATTTCCTCCAGTAAAAGGTTACAATATTAATGATTTTTGTTTAACTACTAAAGGTAAAGTTGACCAAATGCTACACACATGATTTATCAGATCACAATATTATAAATAATCCATTTCTATTCTTTTATACCTATCTTTTATAATTATTTTAAAACAAAAACAAATTAATAAAAAAGATCTCCACATTAACATTCAGTGGTGTAAAAACCAAAACTACTCACATTAAAACTTGAAACTCTTTGACAATGTGAACTTTGCTTGGTTTTATTGTGTTCATCAATAAAATGTGAAGAAAAAACATCTTCAATCTATGAATCTGATAACAACTCTATTCAAAAGAAATAATTATAATTAGAACTATAAATAATCCCTCAACCATACCTGTTACTTAATTTAATCTTTCAACCAATTTTGTACTCTTTCAATTTCGGAATTCAAACAATTTCAGCATGCTTTCAATCAATTTTCAATTTTCATATCAAGTTGATTAAAGGATTATTTAATACAATAGAATGTTGTCAATGATATAAATATATGTAACCAATTTAACAACATTACATATAATAGGACACCCAAATAGTTGAAATAAAATGAAAACCTTAGTAATACATAAAAAAGACTAATAGCTAGATAGATATTATTCAGATCAAATTAAACAAGAATGTATTTGAGTTTATAAACCATTAAGAAAAAATTATGATATTTGTGTTATACTTTTAAGCATTGGGCTTATTCATAATAGGTGGCGGAGGTTCTGGCAATGAAGAGCGGTATGATTTGTTATTCTTATTTTTAATGCTTTCTTTAACATATATCTCATCTGATGTAGAAAGTTGTATTATTCACAACATGAAAATGAATTTAATTATAAAACATTTTGCTACAAAAAAGTAATTAAGTTACTTTTAAAAAAAACACAAAACAAGTTAGATGCTGACCATCTGTTATCTTAGACTTTATCAATGGAAATTTGTGCCATTCTTTTGTTGACGAAAGGTTGTTTTTCAGTGCATGATTATAGTTTTTTTTGGGACAATAAATTTGTTATTATTCTTTGTCAATCCACTTGTTTAGTGCAGCATTACTTGGTTAGAAAACATGCAGAAAAACCTTCCTTTAAAGTTGGGTTATGCTTATACTCATCAGGCTTTTGGTCATAAGAGTATTCATAATACAAAATCGATGATTTATGATGGTCAAAATATTCTTTTAGATTTTCGCAAGATAAGAAATCATTTCTTTTAGAAGTTTCAACATTCGATTTTTTTTTCTATATGTACTGATGAAAATTATAGTATTTTTTAATATTCCTTTTGGACTTGTCTACAGCGCTAATTTACATCTCTACCCCCCCCCCCCCTATTTTTATTTTTGATTATGATAGAGAATTTCATCCTGATTAAGAATCGTATAAAAACATAGGTCTGAAAATTAACAGAAAGTGCTCTAATTCGATGTTGAAGTTTAAAAAATTACACTAAAAAACGCTAATATTCGCCATTTTTTCATACTTGATTATAATTAAAATCCTTTCATAAAATGACTTTTAAAAAGCCTGGTTTCTATCAAAAATTTTAGCAAAACTGTTAAAAAATGCGTACCTTATCATTTTCTTATTGATTTCTGGCCCAAACCCTAACCCTGTCCCAAATCATGTACGTTTAATCGCACCAATCCCTATTTGTCAGTCGATGTATGTGCATACAGTTGCGTCAATCCCTATTTGTATGTACATTCAATTACGCCAATCCCTATTTTTCAGTTGATACATGTACATTTAATTGCGCCAATCCATTTTTCAGTCGATTTATGCACATTTAATAAGCAATATCTTAAATTAAATTTTGAAAATTTAATAAAAAATATATTCATAAAAAAATTATTTTAATTTAAATATAGTTTAACTTTGGCAACAATAAAAACCGGGTTGCATAATTAAAAAAAGATTTTCTTAATAATCGGTTTCTAAATGTAAAATTTGATATAAAACGTTTTTAAAAAATGGCGAATATTAGCGTTTTTTAGTGTAATTTTTTAAACTTCAACATCGAATTAAAGCACTTTCTGTTAATTTTCAGACCTATGTTTTTATACGATTCTTAATCAGGATGAAATTCTCTATCATAATCAAAAATAAAAATAGGGGGGTAGAGATGTAAATTAGCGCCCTTGCCTACTGCGTCTCTTTTCGTATGCCCTTTTGTAAAAGACATAAATGAATCTTTGTTCCTCGATAAAAACGATAAGTGCAAAACCAATATATATTTATGAGTGTTTTTGAGTAACACAATCTTTTGTGTTATTCAAAAACACTCATATATATATATATATATATATATATATATATATATATATATATATATATATATATATATATATATATATATATATATATATATATATATATATATATATATATGTATATATATATATATATATATATATATATATATATATATATATATATATATATATATATATATATATATATATATATATATTAATTACATCTATATCTTTTATTCTAGAAATAAAAATATCAACTTGAAAATATTAATTTTATAATATTTCTGCAAAATAAATTTCAAATCACAAGGATTTCAGAAAACATGCTAAGCATCAAATCATTGAAATATTTTGTGAACTATAATAGGAGGTTATTTTATTATTTAAAATTTATCAAAAGAAATAATCATTAATGTCTTCCAGAGGTTAAAATCTTTATGCTTTTTTCGAAATAAGTCTCCGCATGGTTTTTAAATGGCGGTCATTTAAATTATCGCTCCGTAAAATTAGTAAAAAATTTTTTCTTTTTTTTTTAACAAATCTATAAAAAACATCTTATAGACATCTAAGTTTAGATGAAAAAAAAATTATCTATGTACGATCTATTTTATGCATCTAATATGCATCTAAAACAGAGCAAAAAATAGTATATCTAGAATCAGACGTCTTTTTTATCTCTAATATACGTCTAAAATATACGTAGCGGCAATAGATACAAATTAGACCAATTTTAGACGGTCTAAAAGACGTCTATTGTTTGCTGGGACACTGTATGAATCTTCTCGTAAATGACATTTTGAATACAAAAGACAAAATACAACACACAACAGAAAATCAAATAAAAAATTACTTCTTTTAACTTAAAGTTGCCTGCGTTTGATATGAAAAACAAATTTGACAATAATTATTTAATTTACACATACTATTCATCTGTTATGTTTGCATGCGCTTCAAAGGCATATTATGCGCAAAACTTTTGAGTGGTATGGGCATATATTTGCCGATATGCGCATAAGTTCCGAACCCTATACAAAAGAAAATGTAGCATAATAAACTTTAAATTGTCAAAAGAAAGTTTTAAATTTTTTATCTAGCAACGGACTTTTTTTTTTTTTTCTTCTCCACAGCAGCACCTTTTTGAGTAGCAGGACTTTCTTATTAAGTTTTTTCTTTATTAAGTTTCAGGCAATATTTTTTTCAGACCATCCGCAACTTGTTAGGACTATTCACCTGAGCACATTAATAACATAAGTATCTCAATCATGTAGTAATAAATATCTTTCCGATAATAAAAAAAACCCTCTTCGAATTATTTAAATCTTCAATTTTAACAGGAACCGTTCCAGAGAAATTTAAAATTGCAAAAATTGTACCTATATATAAAACTGGAGAACCATATTTACTAAACAACTATAGACCAATCTCAATCCTTCCTGTATTCTCAAAACTTCTCGAACGACTAATTTATAATAAACTGTACATATATTTAACAAACAATAACATCTTAAATAAAAAACAGTTTGGATTTCAAAAACAACATGCAACAGAACATGCAATCATAGATCTTGTAAATAGCATCAACTACTCATTTGATAATAATGAATTTGTTCTAGGAATCTTTATAGATCTATCAAAAGCATTCGATACTGTTGATCATGAAATCCTGCTCAAAAAAATGGAAAAATATGGCGTAAAAAATGTTGCATTACTCTGGTTTAAAAACTTTTTGCTAAACAGACAACAATGTTTAAATACTAAAGATCAAATGTGGCGTTCCCCAAGGTTCCATTCTAGCTCCCTTACTGTTTTTAATATACATTAATGATCTTCCGAAAGCCTCAAACAAACTTGATGTCATAATGTTTGCAGATGACACTAATTTATTTTATTCATCCCCGTCAATTACAGAACTTTTAGAAACAACGAATATTGAACTCGAAAAACTTAATAATTGGCTAAAATCTAATAAACTATCTTTTAACACAGAAAAAACTAATTACATCTTATTCCATCCAAATCAAAAAAGAAAAAAACTACAAAATATATTGCCATTGCTAAGAATAAAAAACAAAAATATCGAAAGAACCACAACAACTAAATTCCTAAGCTTACTTATTGATCAAAATATTTCATGGAAAGCCCATATTGACTATTTAAATTCTCAAATAACCAAAAACATTGGCGTGCTATACAAAGCTAGGCCAATGTTATCCCAAGAAAATCTAAAACATCTTTATTTTTCATTTATACATACCTATTATACATATGGTAATATAGCATGGGCCAGTACCCATAAATCTAATTTAAAATCACTTTATCAACATCAAAAACATGCCATTAGAATTGTCTATAAAAAAGATAAACTCACTCATGCTGAACCTTTGTTTAAACTCCTAAATGCACTAAACGTCTATAGAATTAACATTTACCAAAACATGCTAAAATTTAAACTCGGGCTTGTCCCACCACATTTCTTAAATGAATTTTTTAAAAGCAATAAAAAATAGATATGAAACTAGAGAAGTAGGAAACTTTAATGTACCATTCAGAAAAACAAAACTGTCGCGTTTCACAATTTCGTTTCGCGGTCCCTATCTTTATAATAAACTGATATCCAAAAATGCCATTATTACAAAATTAGATAATATAAGTTGTTTGAAAATCTTACTAAAAAAGTTTGTTTTAAATATCAGCAATTATTTAAACTTTCACTAAACTAAAACTGAAAGTAAAACCAAAATTATAATTGAAAACAAAAACCAAAAAACTTCAATAATAAATATTAATATAAAAAATCAATATAAGTCAATAATAATTATATTTACGCTTAATAATATATTTATGTGTATTATGTGTACTACAAACAGTATTTACCAACTTTTATTTCTGCATTTTATTATATGTGAACCTAATATAAAATGAAGTATTTTGTGAAACTTGATACATTGTAAAACGAAAGTACAAAAATTATTACAAGTACAAGCGGTTTCTTGATGACAAGACCATCTGGTCTTCTGCAAGTTTCCCGCGTTCTTTTAATATTAATGATACCCTACAATCATATTTTTTGTATTCTATAAAATTGTGATATATTTTTAGTATTATATATTTTAAAAACATTATAACTTTGTACCAATCATGTAGAATCACAACATTATAAAGATAAAAGAACAAAAAAAAAAAAAAAAAAAAAATCATGACACATACGCAACAAATTTTTTGTCTTAGTGTTTTAATATGTTATGCATTTTTAGCTTTTTTAAAATAACTACTACTACTACTACTACTACTACTACTACTACTACTACTACTACTACTACTACTACTACTACTACTACTACTACTACTACTACTACTACTACTACTACTACTACTACTACTACTACTACTACTCAATTAATTACTACTACTACTAATACTACTACTACTACTACTACTACTACTACTACTACTACTACTACTACTACTACTACTACTACTACTAATACTACTACTAAAAATTAGTTAAACTCTTGCAGTTTAATTAATTTTTTGACAGATCTTATTAAAAACAGATAATGTATCAAGAAAAAGATGCCTAAAGAAGTGGTTTTAACAAAGATTTTAAATCGTGAAACCATACGATTCATGAATAAAGAATAGTTAAAAGAGTTGCTTAATAAAAATGTAATTTTAATCTGCCTTTTTGTTTGAAATAAATAAGCATACATAATTATATAAATTCTGTTATTTTTTAAACATTTTAAAAGTTGTTTTGCAATGTTTCACAATCGGGTAAACCGTATGACCAAGTGGGCACGGACGCTAAAAAATACGTCTTTTAAACGCTATATAGTATTTTAAACGTCTTTTGAACGTTTAAAAGACGTCTATTTTTGGTCCGGTGCCCACTGGGAGGGGGGCCCAGTTGGAAACCGCTGCCAAACACCACCGGGATCCCTGAAGGCGTCTGGACCCTTACCGGGTAATAGAAGGATTTATTTGGGACCCTAGTATAAATCGGGCTAGCAAACCCATTTAGGCCCTTGAACGGAACCACAGCCAAAAACCGGCCGAATCTCGAGGGTTTTCGCATATGGTTCCTAGTTATAA